ATTGGAATAGAGACATGTGGCAAACGTGATATAGGACGGTGAGGGGCTCCACCCACGACTGGACTGCTCAGACAGAAACAGAAGCCCTCACATAGTGAAGCCCCTGCACCCTAGATGCTGGAAAGTACAGGCAGGTGGGCAGCCAGGCCCTTCTGCTCTCTAGGATGGGCTTGGGGCACAGAGCTCCAGAGCTCTGCCCCAGCCTCAGCCCTTGGCCTGACCAGCTGAAATGAGAGCAGGTTAGTAACCTCCTGGGGGGTGGGAGCTGATCAGGATGGGCTACACACAGTCAGCTATTGCTAGCTCCCCTAACTTCAGACCCGAACCCTGAACTGGCTCAATTCCCAATCCTCACATTTAACAAAGACTAACACAGGCAAAGGCTCCTGACAGCCTACCTGGAGCCCCTTGAGGTCTCTGGCATCACTAACAGTAGGCTGGCACTAAAATGTGTGTTGGGTGGACAAGGGAAAGAACAGCAAGACAGACAGGCATTCAACTGTTAGATGAAAACAGTGCCAAACTTCAGACAGACAAGGAAGCAATTAATTCTGCTCTAAGGGATGCTTTTGGGAAGTGGGGAGCCTCAGACTCAGAATTTGAAGGACTTGGGCCAACCCAGGTCCAGGGGAATGCCCACAACACTGATGACAGCTGGCTCCCCAGTCAAGCCCAACAGCAAATGCACAGATCTCACACTCTATCTCCTTGGTGATTTCAGTTCCCAGGAGTTAGGCCAGAGGGCAGCCCAGAAACACTCATTGTTCTACACCCTCCAGGAACTGTGGCTAAACATATTGGTCCAGCTCCAGCCCACAGGACACCCTCAGAACTGGTCAGAGGTCCTGACAAAATGTGGGTGTGGTCAAAGGGGAGCCTTTGCCAATGTACAGAGGCCTTCCCTGGCTGGCCACTCCAAGGTAAACCTATCGTTTCCAAGGACCTGGAGTTGAGCAGGGAGAGCTAACTCCAGCCTGCCATCACCCTTCGGATCTGGGTCCACTATTCCAAGAAAAGCAAGGGGCCTGATATGCAGCCACCATTGGTCTTCTCCATTAGGGACAAGCTCCCACGTCCCCTTCCATCAGTTCAGCCCTATTGCCATCTATACCAAGCCAGAGCCCACATCACAGTCACCAAGGTGATGGGCCAGATGCCACTGTCAGTGAGGGCTGTGGGCAGATGGCCTTTGGCAATCAGCCCTTTCAGGGATTTTGTGGCTGCACAGACACCTACCCGGACCACATCCCTCCTAGGACAGCCCCCAACTGCCTACGGATGGGTACAAAGCAGGAAGGCCCAACTATCCTGCTAGACGGGGGACAGGTCTGAAGGGTCACACTTGCTCCAGAGCAGAGGCTGTCATGAGGCCTTCCTTGTGCCCAAGTCTCCCTCTGGCTGCTTCTGCTTCCCTCACCTCCTCTCAGGGCTGTCATTCCAAGCATGACAAACTCCCTAACTCCCCTTTTAGGAACTCAGCCTACGACATGACATCTCAAAGACACACTGACACAATTTTCTACTGTCTGTGGATCCTCATGAATAATATCCTCTCACATTACAGTCTAAGATGACAATTCCATCTGTAACAAACTTGCTGCACTTGAACACCCTACTTTTCTCAAAGTCCCAAGAGGGGGCTTCACCTGGAAATGATTCTCATCTTATCATCCCTCTACATGCCTCATCAAGAGTCATGGAATCACTGGCATCCATAGCACCAATTCCACCCTCATAACTCCCCACAGGATAGAAGGCTACCATATCCAGATTGCCACAGGTTCAACAAGTGGCCCAAAGGACAAGCTAAACAAAGGGGCACTCTAGGTGCAGACCAAGCAACCATCAACCATCAGAGCATTCTTTACATCCTCTGTGTTCGCAGCCTCCTCACCCAGGTCAGGCCCACCCTTTCTTTATCCAATCCCCACCACCCCAAATCCAAACTACTCACCACTCAGCCCATCCAGCCTGGTCCAGCAGCCCAGAGACAGATGGAGGGAACAGGCAGAGAGAAGGGTGTTACACTGAGCTCTACTGCCATTAATTGCAAGTGCTCTGGACCCTGAAACTTGATCATCACCAATGCCTGGGAAAGATGGAAATGGTGGGCTCAGCAGTTGGTTTTGCACCTCCCCTTAATGGGTCTCACAAGATCAAAAAAATCTTAGTTGGGCCCTGTCAACCCAGTCAAAGATATTTCCTGTCCTTAGAGCTGGAGGGAAGTCCAGTTTGGTGAGCCTCAGTTGGCTTTACTGGGCTTCATCAGGCCCTGGAACATCTGAGAGCTCCCAGTTGAATCCCTGGCAGGGCAGGAGATGTGTAGGAGATGCAGAGCCTCCCTGAACTATCTTTTCTGTGAATTTGCACTCTGTTCTGCTCCTTTGGTTCCCACTTGCTTCATCTGCTCCCCTGGAGTCTGTCTTACCCCAGTGTGTGGGCCTAGCCACCTTACTGCAATAAAGCTGCAACCTGCATAAAGTTCTTAAACTCTCCGAGTATCAGTTCTTTACTAGTAAAATGAAGCAATCACTTGCCAAGGTTTCGCAAGAATCTATCAAGAATTACCGATAAAGTGCCTACTGGTTTGAATGCTCAAAACTCATATTGAGGCTTAATCCCCATTATGACAGTATTAAGAGGTAGGGCTTTTGGGAAGTGATTTAGTCATGAGGGCTACACCCTTACAAATGGATTAGTGCCTTATTTATTTATTTGTTTGTTTATTTATTTTTGAGTCAGAGTCTCACTCTGTCACCTAGGCTGGGGTGCAGTGGCACATTCACGGTCACCGCTGCCTTGACCTGATGGGCTCAGGCGATCCTTCCACCTCAGTCTTCCAAGTAGCTGGAACCACAGCTACACACCACTACATCCAGCTAATTTTTTTAACTGTAGAGATGAGGTCTCAACATGTGGCCCAGGCTGTTCTCAAACCCTTGGGCTCAGGCAGTCCTCTTGCCTCTGCCTCCCAAAGTGCTGGGATTACAGGTGTGAGCCACTGCACCTGACCAGATTAGTGCCTTATAAAAAGGCTGAATAAAACTAGTTTAGGCCCTTTTTGCCTTCCACCTCTTCTGCCATGTAAGGACATTACATTCCTTCCCTCCAGAGGATGCAACAACAATATGCCATCTTGAGTGGATTGCCTGAGCCCGCAGGTTCGAGACCCGCCTGGGCAACTTGGTGAGACCTCATCTCTACAATAAATCAAAAACTAGCCGGGTGTGGCAGTGTGTGCCTGTAGTTCCAACTATTTGGAAGGCTGAGGCGGAAGGATCGCCGGAGCCCAGCAGGTCGAGGCTGTGGTGGCCAGGAGCGTGCCACTGCCCTCCAGCCTGGGAGACAGAGTGAGACTCCAACTTAAAAAAAAGAAAGAAAGAGAACAACGCTTACCAGACACCAGTCCCATTAGCACCTTGATCTTAGACTCCATAGCCTCCAGAACTGTGAGAAACAAATTTCTGTTGTTTGCCAGTCTATAGTATTTTGTTATAGCAGCACAAATGAACTAAGACGGTGCCCAGAAGAGGGCCTGGTCCTAAGTGCTCAGTATACAAAAGCTGCTATTAACCACGACAATTATTGGGTAAAGATGGACAGTCTAATTATCAGCTTCTATCTACACCTCTTTAGCTGACGTCCAGGCCCTCCTCACTGGAACTCCCCAGGTGCTAAAAACACTCTCCACTCCAAGCACTTCAACAACACACCCCAAATCCCTTTTCCTGGTTTGCTTGGCTCCTAGCTTCCATTGCAAATGGGACCCTTAAAGTCAGAATCTGAGAAAAAGACTCAAATGCCTGGCCCACCCTCTGATTCTCACAGGGTAAACTCTCCAGCACTATAACAGACTCTGACTACAATCTAGTGTTCCACTGGACCTAGTGCCTAGACGTGTAAAACAATTCTTATTCCACTTTTAACTAATTATCCGTCAGGCTGGATAACCCAAAGTTAAGTCAAAGTTCAGGGGCAGGGAAAGAATAAATACACTGTTAAGTCTCCTCAAACCCAGAAACCTCCTATTCCCATTCCTTACCCCGTTTAGCAGTGATTTGTGTCTGAGAAGGCCAAACACAGTGCATTTATACACGGCAGCTCTCTGACAGTTAGATTCCTTCAGGACATACAAATGCAGTATGCTGTCTACCTAATATGAAATGAAAACAGGCAGTTCTAACACACTACTCAAGCCTTCTTTGTTCTCAAGTTGTTACATACTTAAGAAATGTAAATACTTGTTATAAAACAAGGTAAAGGTGCTACAAATTATAATCTCCTTAAAGGCGGCAACTGTTTTTCCTTCATTTTTTGTAGGCCTCCTGACCCTAAAAAATTGATTTTGCATCTAAAAACTGTACAAGTTTGCTCAACGAATAGATGCAAAATTTATACTCGCACACATGAATGCATTCAGTACACGCATACTCTCATACATTTTTATCAACACTTCCTTAAAGATGAAGTCTTTTCTCACCAACATGGATGGCAGAAGTGACTACAGCTCCAAGATACTATTTATGTTATTAATTCTGTGAAGAGAACTAGTTTTGCACAACGCTTGTCTTAGGCTTTGACCTGAATAAAACAGAAAAGGATCCTAAGAGATTACTAAATCAACTTGCTCCCCTTTACAGACAGAAGCTATGGTGCAGAGTCAGGAAGAGAGGAAGATAATGACAGTTCTGAAAGCAGTCTTAGGCCTGCCAACTCTCTGCACCTTAGTCTTTCTACTAGCATTCTGGCAGACCCTGCTAAGAATATTCTAAGTGCACAAGACACATCAGTCTCTAATACCACCTCCTTGACCTGAGCACTCCTATATCGCCTGCATGGTAAAAACTCCTTCTACTGTAAGCGATAAGCAATTATATTTTGACATCTTTTCAAATAAATATTTCCATTCAGCAACAGGCTGCTTTATATACCAAGAGGGCCTCCAGTCACACTTCATTTTATTATAGGATACGAAAACAGCTCACAGTGATGCTTATTACCTTTAACAAGCAGCTTGTCTCTCACAGAAACCCTCCGAGTGGAGTCGGACGCTGTGGCTGACGTCCGGGACCCTTTGAGACCGTCATCACGCTTCAGTTTGCTTGCTAGCGTTAGCATTACTGCTGCCTTTACCCTGAAAAACAGCAATGAAAGCAGGGTTATGGATCAGGTCTTGAGACAATGACGCTTCCACCTCGGCCTTCCAAATAGCCAGAACTACAGGTGCACACTACTACGCCCGGCTAATTTTTTATTTATTGCAGAGACGAGGTCTCACCAAGTTGCCCAGGCTGGTCTTGAATCCATGGGCTCAGGCAATCCATTTACCTTGTGCTCTCAAAGTGCTGGATTATAGGCTGAGCCACCGAGCCTGGCCAAGTCTAACTTTTTAAAGTATAAATTAAATATTTTTAAAAAGGAGAGTCATGCATTTAACACTCACTGGGTATCCATTAAGTGACAACGTTCCCATGGAACACACGGTCTAGGGAAGCCTCCATAGTTTCTTAACCAGCAATCTCCTGCCAATAGGCTCCACGTGGGTCCACCACTGTCCACCGGTAAGTCTGTCCTTCCCTGCTGGGAGGGATCATGCATCCCTGTGCGTGGCCCCAGCGAGCAATCCATCACAAACCGAGAGAGCAACATCAGCCTCTGGTGGAGGAGGAGCACTGTAACATGTTTGGCTTTTCTTCCTCCTTTAACAAAGGAGGTGTGGACAGAGCCTTAATAAGAAGTATCTTCTCATTTATTCATGTTGTGTGGCATTTACTTAAATTGTGCTTTATTTACATTTTTTGGCAACATAAACAACAAGACTAAGTTATAATGAATGCCCCAAACTAGATTCTCTTCATCGGCTGCTTCCAGTCCATCTGTTTCAGGTCTCCCAACTGAAAGTTTACTGGGAAAGACAATAAAGACCAAACACAGGTGATGCCCCTGACTACCTGGGGGAAGGGCTAAAGAAATGCCACCGATTTTTTTTTTTTAAGATTTTAGTATTTTTTAGAGTAGTTTTAAGTTTACAGCAAAATTAAGAGGAAGGTATAGATATTTCCCATATATCCTCTGCCCCTACACATGCACAGCCTTATCCATCATCAACATCCCCCACTAGAAAGTACAATTGTTACAATCAATGAACCTACACAAATACATTATTGGCCAGGCGTGATGGCTCATGCCTATAATCCCAGCATTTTGGGAGGCCGAGGTAAAAGGATTACTTGAGCCCAGGAGTTAGAGACTGGCCTAGAAAACACAGCAAGGACTCATCTCTTAAAAAAAAAAAAAAAAAACTAGCTGGGAGAGATGGGATGTGCCTGTGATCCCTGCTACTCGGGAGGCTGAGGTGGAAGGCTCTCCTGAGCCTAGGAGATGGGGGCTGTGGTAAGCCATGATCATACCACTGCACTCCAGTCTGGGCACCAGAGTAAGATCCTGACTCAAAAAACACAAAAACAAACATATTATTATCACCCAAAGTCCATAGTCTACATTAGGATGCCACCAATTTTCATAGGTATAATTATCCTCTAAAATCGCCTTCTGGTTCTAATACTGCTATTAATCTGATATTCCTCCTAACTCTTGCTTACATTACTATGGTCAGAGAGGGACTCTGAAACTTCTTTTAATTGAGAACAAAAATTGGTCATCAGTATCAATATTCTTATAATTTCCTGTTGTTTTCATATCATTTTCTTTCACTACCACTCTGATAGTTTTCAACAGATAATGCTTTTAAAAGTCCATATGTAAAGCTTGACCTAAGCACAGAAATTTTGCTGAGACTAAGATCCTGAAAGTCAAAATATAAGAATCCACCTCTCCTCATTGGTATTTAAAACTTTTTTTTTTTTAAGTCTAGGTCTCTGTCACCCAGGCTGGAGTTGATCCCAGCTCACCACAGCCTTGACCTTCTGGGCTCAGGTGATCCTTCCACCTCAGCCTCACAAGTAGTTGGGACCACAGACACACACCACTAAGCCCGGCTAATTTTGTTATTATTATCTTTTGTAGAGACAAGGTCTCACTATGTTGCCTAGGCTGGTCTCAAACTCCTGGGATCAGGCAATCTTTCCACCTTGGTCTCCCAAATTGCTGGGATTACAGGTGTGAGCCACCATGCCTAGCTGGTATTTTAAACCATTTTTAACCCAGGTCTCTTACATAGTTTCTCATACTGCCCTAAAGACTGTCAGATTTTATTTTCTATGGTTTGTATCAGGAAAACAATACACTGAATATGACCTTCTGCGCTGTACCTGGTCTTTTCCATACTGAGGACATGGACATACACACCCCTTAAAACCCCTAAGAAGCACTGGTCTACAGGCTTCAAATTTCTCCTGCACATAAGCGGTCATAAGTTCTTAGAATTGCAAATCTGGGAAGGACTTCTACTCCCACTCCCACTCCATTTTACCATAAGACAACAGAGGTCCAAAAGGTGGGTTGTTCACAACCACTCAGCTGCTAGAAGCAATTACCACAGAAACACTACTTCCCGAAAATATTTTTACCCTAAGTGTGGTCATGGCTTTAGAGGTATGTACAGATATCAAGACTGATCAATTACATACTTTAAATAAATGTGTAATACAGTATACTTCAACTATACCTCAATAATGGTGACAAAAATGTGAAAACAAACCAATAGTAGTTTCTTTCTTCTCACTCTACGCTGTCATCTACTCAGATGGACCCACATAGGGGCATGGACCATAAGAGTGAACACACACATCTTTACTGGACATGGCAACTACTAGTTCAGTTGATGAAATCACAAGCTACCTGAGATAGTAGCACCATCTAGAGCCAGGATCTCCTGCTTCAGCCCTCCTCCTGGAATGATCTTGCAAGGAAGCCCTCAAGCAGATCTAGATCACAGGGCAGTGTCTGCCTCCCTGGTCAAGTCCGCTGCCATGCTCCCAGACTTGAGTATATCAGTCCTTCGATGGGTCAAGATATGTATTCATTGCTTAGGGATCAGCTGGAAGCACCAGCTGCCCTACAGAAGGACCACCAGGTTTTCATCCTCTGGCTGACCTCGGCAATGCAAATAGGGCAAAAGTAAAAAATAAAAGCACAAAGTGTGTAAAGGAGTTCAGCAGGCAGTACCCTAAGGAAGTCATAATGAAGAGTCCCACAAAAAAGCAAGCACCAGGTCCACACCCAGCTCCCTAAGGACATACATGGAGGGAGCCGCTCCGGAGAGGTTGGCAAGAGTATTCACTCACACCCAGAGAAGTTCACCACCAAGCAACTCTTCTGCAGCACCAGCCCACAGTCTGTACTTAATGCCTTTATACCCCCCCACCCTACACTGAAGTCTTCTTTGTGGACAGAGGATGCCCCATACTCAATTCCATTGGAAGAATCAGATTGTTGGTTTGCTATTTTCAACAAGTTTGTGGCCCTTAACACAATACATAGGACATGAGTTGTACAAGGTGTAGTGTTTTGTTTTCCATGGAAGACAATACAAAAGGTACTTTCCTAACAGTCTAAGAAATCTAAGTATATAGTGACTATCTGTTTCTCTATCATCTGTATCATTCACAAGTCACTTTAGGGATAAACCAAAGGCCTAACTGGGAATGGTTCCATAGCTGTAAAATGAAATATCTATGAAAGGATTTGAACAAAAATAATCCAACTGTCAATAGGTTAACTGAATACCTGCAGTTGTTTCAGAATTCTCTTTTCCTTCTTGAATATGCCTTGCCTCTTGAAGATCTGGTTTAAAACTAAACTTCCCCTTTACTGCAAATTACACTCTGACTAAGGCAGCATTTCAGTAATACATCAGCTGTTCTGAATAGCACGTTCAGTCTCTAAATTCCACAAGCTGTAATTGGCCCAGTTAAGTTCCTCCTCTGGGTGGAACCTGCTTTCAGACTGTCCAAAGAAAAGGATTCTTGTGTGCTATTTACTAGTCTCATCATCAAGTGATATTTACTCATCAAATGATATTTACAGCTTGCCTGTGTGCAGTGGCAAAACCAGGTCATGTCATTTGTGCAGGGATACCAGGGGGCCTGGTGAACTCATTCGCCTGCATGGAGAAGTCCCAATTCAAGCATAAAAGATGGAACTGAAGGTCACCAGGGGACACTCAACTTCCTCAGCCAAAAAGGCCCGGATCAGGACACAAAAAAGTCCACACCCTACTCTTCTACAGAATGCCAGTGCCTGGGGACTCCTGGCCCAAAGACACCATCTTTGGAACTCAGCCCCTTTTATTTTCAGCAGTAAACTGCCCCCTCTGGCACCACCTACTACCTGAAAGGCAGGTATGTCCAAGCCGGGGCCCTCAAGCCCTACATCACCAAGTCTTGTGGGGACTTCTGTCAGAATATCTTTCCCACCTCTATGCTCCCCAGCCAGGAATCCTCTGCAGGGCATGTGAACAGACCATTCTCCTCACAGTGCCTCAACAACACCCTGCTCATTTCCAGAAGCGTCTAATTCAGTCTGTTACTCAGGTCTGAAAGGCTTGCCATCCCTTCACCACCTAATCCTACCCCTTCCTGACGAAGAGACTCCTTCCTAGATTCCAACGTCTCCTCCTCCAAGAAGCCTTCTCTGGCTACTCCAACCCATCCTGACCCCAGTTTCGGGCGGGAGGGAACGCAGAGAGTGGCGGGCCCAATCCCCTTCTGTGACAGATGAGGAAACTGAGCCCAGAGAGGGGAAGGCCACACCCAAGGTTACACACCAGCAGAGCCAGGTCTGGAATCAAGACTTCGCTGTACTGACTGCTCCAAGACGCCCTTTCCTTCGCTTCTCCTTCGCCGTGGTAAAATCTCCTAACTAGCCCGGCCGCCCCCTGTGGTAGGTGAGCGCCCGTACCTACTCTCTCCGCGGCAGGTACGTGGACGGGCGGGAGCGGTCACTCCTCGCCTTTCCCGCTCCGTACGGCCTAGCGCGACTCCTAAAGCCACCAGGAGCCCAAGTCCCGCTTCCACCGGCCACGTCGGGGCCGGTGACCTTGGTCAGGCGCTCCACGCCCCGCTTCCTCGGGACAAGGCAGACAGCAGCTCCCGCGACGAGGGGCGTGAACCGGGTCGGGTCCGCGCCACGCTCGGCACGG